TTTGATTCACTCTACTTTCAGAATGATGAGTATTCCTCAGGATTCAAAAGCAATCAGGAGATGTGGGTATGTAGCTCAGTAGCAGAGGGCTCGTACTGTGTGCCAGAGAGGCCCTCAGTCCAGTCCTTAGCAGCACACACACACAAATAGACAGCTATGAAATAAAATATAGAATAATAAATATAAAAATTATAATTCATTAACATATGCAGGTTAGATTTAAGCTACTCATCTTGTTTTAGTGGTTGAGCAACAGAAACTGTTGTCCCCAAATCCTGGAAGCCAGAAGTCTGAAATCAAACAAGCGTATTCTCTACCATGTTTAGGGGAAACCTTCTATAATGTTTTTTTGTCTTTTTCGTTTTTATCAGTACCAGGGATCGAACTCACAACTTCCTACTTGCAAGGCAGGCGCTTATGCCACTGAGCTAAATCCCCAGCCCCTATAATTTTTTTTTTTTTTTTTTTTTTTTTACCTGCAGATAGTTTGCTAGTTGTTTCTGGTATTCTTTGTCTAGCAGCTGCATCACTCCAACTTCTTCCATCACCACTTGCTTTTACATGGCATCTTCCTAGAATGGCCCCATCACATTGGATAGTAAACCCAATCTATTTCAGCATGAACTCATTTGAACCAACTTCATCAACAACTTCTCTATTTCTAAAGTGGGTCACATTGTGAGTTACTAAAATTAAGCCTTCTTTTTTGAGATAATATAATTCAATCTGTGACACCATATCTAGGCACTGTTTTAATAAATAAAACTTTACAGGGATGTGGCTTTTGTAATTACAGATGTTGAGATAAATAGTCCTGAGAGAGACCTGAGGACTCCTTACAATTGTAAATATTTTTTTTTCTGTAACCTTTTACACAAAAAGTTTGTTGCCTCTTGCATTACACTAAAATCAGTCTTTACATGTTAATATACAAATAAAACTTAAAAAGGAAAAATGAGACCAAAAAAGAGAAAAGAGATGAATCATGGATTGAAATACAACATTTTTGTTTCTTCGTCTAACAAGGGTTGGTGTTTGCTTTCCCACACTTTGAATTCTCCTTGGATGTATGACTTATTCTGACTAAGAAAGGTAGCAGGTGACATTGTAGAGATTCTAACTAGCAGGCATTGTGAGGTTTCTGCTTTGGTTATTCACAATGACTCACCTCTAGTCTCAACTGATAAGAGACCACGTGTAGGGGAGGCCCTGGAGATGTGAAGGGGCCTTAGTTAGTTCTTACAGATCTGGACAATATTCCTGATGCTTTCAGATATAAAGGTATTTGGGAGAGATTATTGAAAGCTTCACCCAACTGAACACCCACCTACCGCCCCCACAGACGTACAGGAAATAGTAAATCATTGTTTCTTGGAGCCACTAAGTTTGGTATTCATTTGTTACACCACAATAGATACCGGAGACAGAAATACCAAGATTATGTGAATCCACATTTTTAGAGAGTCATCGGAGTGTGAAATGTGTTAGCTAGCTTCTTGGTTGTTCTGAGATGAACGGAGATATCTTTATATATGGATCTCAGAGTTTTCTGTCCCTTAGAAATATGAATATCTCAATTTTCCCTCTCCATCAACTCCAAATCTGACTTTTCCTTCTCTTGAAGAGTCCATCAAATCCTTTAGCATGGTACTGAAAAATTGTACTACTTCTCACATGAAGTAGAATCTATGGATGTTTATTAAAATTAGCTTACATGTAATATGATATGCACAAAATAGAAAACTATTTTATTTCTATGGCAAATGATCTGTCATAACCCAATAATTAATTTTCTTTTTACCTCACCTTAGTAATCAAAACTAAAACAGAATGTAAGAGTCATGACCCTGTAAGCATTTCTGTATACAAATTTGAAAAATATCTCATTTACATAAGGTAAGAGCAGATGAAATATGTTTTACTTGATGTGGAATAAATCAGCTATGAATAATACTACATTTCAAAAAGTACTTTAAATGGTTGAAATAATAGTAATTTTTCAATACATTAAAGAACATCAGCTACCTATTATCTCCTAAGATAAAGATTTAACTATAAATATTTATATACATTACAACTTTTTTGTTATTCTCCTTTCCAAACTTCACGTGAATGATTTTTGTAGAAGAAATAAGTACAGATGAATTTATGTGGCTGTATGTGTGTGCTTTCTTGTCCTTCCTTTTTTTCTCACAAAGGATGTTTTTAAAGATGTTTGCTTGGTTAGTTTTATTGAATACACTATAGGGAACACTAACTACAAACATAAAATACTCGTTCTTAAATTAGACATCGAAGACTTTCCCTGCTTTTATTGCAGCTACAATATATCATGGCAAATACCTTATTTGAAACTACTAGGAAATATTGTGACCTAATGAAGACAAAAGATACAGAAGATGTGAAGCCTACTAAGACAGAAGTAAGTTATTGCTGTCCATGTTAAATGCATGAAAGTATCTTGTTTAAGTATTCACAGAGGGCAGAGGAGAGTAAAGTAAATAATGTTTATTTTATCCCACTCTTGATTGCACTTTTAGAGACAACACTTGCTGAGTCTCACAAATCATGAATGTTAATACTGAGAACCAAAAGAGAGTTGTAACTGCAACTTGCAAGTATCCATCTCCGCATCAAGCTTTACTATTCTTAACCATTTTCATGCCTAGCTTTGTGTTTTTCACTTCACTTGTGTATTCAATATTTTTTCACTCAACTGTAAATTTTCCCTATGATATAATAAGAAAAAGAGGAGGGGTTAAGGATGATCTTTTGTTGAAATAAGACTAATTCCATTCTAAATCATAGAAGTTTTCAATTTTCACTCTGTAAATGTTTTAGTGTTTTATTGCTATGCTTGGAGTCCATTTGCTAATATATTCTTCCTTTATAGTTCTGAGTTGGAACTTGTCCACTTCATGCTACTTTATGTGGAAGGCAAAGTGAACCAACAGCATTACTCAAGGTTCATCATGGAGACTTTTCTCTAATTCGCACTGGACCCTACATAATATATGGAGGAAGAAAAGGACAAAAGATGGCCCAGGTAAGTATTATTATTCTGATTTCTATTTATTCATTGCTTATCCTGCCCATTGGTCTAGTCATTTCCTTTCTTGAATCTGAAGGAGCAATTTCTTTGGAATTGCTCTGGGAAATCTGTCTTCCTATGTGATGATATGTTTGCAGTGGCGTCCTCCAATCTATAAACCAATTGTCAATTTTGCCCTTAATATTTATACTGTAAACCATTCCCATGACTTTTATCTCCAGCAATGTCTCAAAACATTTACAATGTTTGGATCTCCATACTACAGAGGATGAGAGAGAGATTTGCAAGTGCATGTGTATGTGTTTAAATTTATGCTGAGAGGATAATACATACGGTGGTTGCATATTGAAACAGTCTAATTCCTTTTATTTAATACTGGGTCTACCAAATGCATTACTGCATTTGGAAAAATTGTTTTGCTGTTAGGAAAAAAGTACTAGAAAGCAAAGTATCCTATTTTTGTGGATATTCTGTTTACCTTCTGGAAAAGTCTTGCTTTATGGAGAATATTCTCCAGAAGAATCTACAGTTCGTAAGTTTATAACACAGTTTCTTATGTACAATGTTTCCCAGATTTTGATTGTTAGGATGCCTTCCTGGAGTAGCTTACCATGAAAGCTGCATGCCAGACCATTTAATAGTCTCCCCAGATAGAGAAAGAGTTATTGCCATGCAAGAACTGAAATGTTCTCATTGGACTGTAGATCCCATAATATGAGATTCAGATCTTCCAATAAATGCCCCCAAAGTGCTAATGTTAGATGGAATAAGAGCTGTAAAAACAAACAAAACAAACAAAAATAGTCTTAAGTATTTCATGAGCAGTTTGTGCACAACATGTTTCATCTGAGAGCAGACTTCTTTAAAACTTCAGTACTGAATCTCATTTTTCAATAATAGAAACAAGAAGACTAACATAAAACTTTGCAATATGCCTAGAAGCATCTGACCTAAGCACAAAGCCTGCACACTTTTAAAATGAATTCTTAATTTTAATCACTTTATTCTACTTAAATTGCGTCCTAACTCACTTGTCTTAGCATCCTAACCTTTGTTACCTTCAGTTTCCTAATCTCTTTATAATGGGGTTTTAAAGTAAAGCTCATTTCATGTAATCATTGCAATGCCAGATATAATGCATATAAGCAGATCAATATGACATTGCATAGATAATCAGGAAGACATTATGAAGCATATGGCATGCAATGCTTAATTAATTTTTCAAATTTTTTGAAGTTGTAGATTCTGTGTTTAAAGCACTGGTTGAGTATTTGTGTAGTTTACAAATACTATCTCATTATTTCTTGCATTTAATACCTGTATTTTATAAATCTGAATTTGGTGCATGGAAAGAAGTAGACAGAAAAATACATGTTTTAGAGATGGCAGTAAAGTGACCTCCAATTTTTCTTATAACCACAGGTTTCATAAAAGTTTGACTTCAAATTCAAAATTGTTCTAAGTTGCCATACTCAATTCAACAAAGAAAAGGTTTGTGACAACAAAAATAATAAAATAGTATAAAATGTCCTAAACAAAAAGAATGTCCTCAAGTGGAGATTGTCTACAACACAGAAAGATTGCACCTATATGCTCACAAAAAGAAAGATATTAAAAATAAATTTAAAATGGTAGAGATTTAGAGAGATTTAATTTTAAAAAGAAGAGCTGTAAATACAATTTCAAGCATCCATCTTTGCTGCATACTCTACTATTCTCTTAAGAATTTTCATGCTGGGCTTTGTATATTTGTTTTTTACCTTATTTATATATCTGGTATTTTCTCATTCAATTGTAAACTTGCTCTATGAAATAATAAGATAGAAGAAAAGGGGAGGGATTAAGGATGATAGGTTTAATTTTATAGTTTCAGAAGTATTAAAAATTAAACTTTACTTTTGTTGTGAGGATTAAAAAACCATCGAAGCACAGTGAAAATTCAATAAATAGTAATCATCATCATTAGTAATAAATTAAAACTTCAGTTAACATATCGCCAAAGGAATCTTTCTTTAAAATTAAGGAAATATCCTTCTAGAATTACTCTTCTCTAAAATATACTTTATGCCCGTACTGTTCTTCAGATGTTCTGAATATGAACTAATCCAGATAAAGAAAAACACTGACCTTACCAAAAGTTTAATGTTTGACTTTCATTTCTAAATGTCACATACACATACACATACCCAAAAAAATATTTCCTTCAAGGAGACTCCTCAGAGGAAGCCCGAGAGATTTCCTGCTCAATTTTTTGCCAAACGAAACCTTCACTTCTTTCAAAATTCTTTTCAGATGTGCTCCCCAGGAGTGCAGTTGTGTGATCTTCACCCTGAGAATGGTAGAAGCCATGCTGACTGTATTGCACACACTAAGTGTAGATCTTCTGTTAATGTCATCAGAAACTTTGTGTGTTACACAGGTGCTGAATACACAGGAGAAATCTGCATCAGAGAAAAGCACATTTTAAAACTTTAAAATGGTGTCAATGCCTCTAATTTTTTGAGCATTAAGAATATCAAAATGAATGCAATCTGAAGGACATTTTGGTAAATGCGTTATGCTACAAATCAGTTAGGAAGCCCAATCATGTAAGAAAAAATTTTCAGGTTGAAAATAAGAAAAATATACTTGACCTAATTAAACTACCATTAGTATAATGTTGTACAGTTAGTTTGTTATTTGTCCTCCTCTTTTTCTCTCTGTTTAACAAGAATCTCACAGAGTAGCATACTCTGGATTCATTTTCCCAGCCCTGATTTACATACATCTTGTTTTAAGTAATTTTCCCCCTTTAGGACATCTAGCTTTCCTTCAATATAGGGTCCTGTGAGGCCAATACAAGGTACCGAATTTATACATTTTTAAACCACATAGCCAGAAAAGTTGCTCAAAGTTGTCATAGAAAGTTGTACTGAGAATTATTTTTAAGTTCTCCTTTTTATGACTGATTCTTCAATTGGTTATTTCCAAAATGTCAGCATTTTCCCTCAAGCCTTTTTCTTATTGGTTGTCAGTTTCTGAAAGGAATCTGGGAAGGGTACTTAATACCACAGTTACCTGCAAACTCCCCGAGGCCAGACAGGATCAGGCTTCAATGTCTTAAACTTTCAGCATGGAATGGCAGCTCTGCCGCCTGGGTCACATGCTAAAGACAGAAAAGAAACAAGCACTTGACGAATTCCATGGTACAGAGAAACGAAGCTGTCAAATACAAAGGTAACAGAAAATAGTATTTCACAGAAGTAGAAATCCCTGCCTGAAAAGGAGATGCATGGCCTTTGGCAGGTGACATGGTTTGGTGGTGAGATGTCTTCACCTGAAAATTGGCATCACCTACACATCAGGGAAAACAAGACTGGCTCTGCTTGGTCAGGAGACCTGCTTTGTGACCAACCAGGAAGGCTCTCACAAGAGGGAGCTCTAGGAGTTACATACATAAAGAACCTTCACTGCAAAAGTGATTTTAATTTTTCCAGAGATATATGCATGTTAGCCAGGTTTCTATATATTATATACTTTTCACACAAAGAAGATTTATCATCAGTAGAGTAGGAATCTGAGGAAAAAGCTTTAGGAATGCTAAATTAAGCTTAGACCAGACTGTCAGTTCTGTGAGGAGCAAGCTTCATTTACTTGATCTATAAGAATGATTAAGTATTAAAAGAGATGGGGCCTGGGGGATTATGGATGCCTGTTAGGTGATTAAATATTTTTGAAGAAATTGGGACTTAGATTCAAAGTACCTAAAATCATAATTTAAATTTCAGCTTTCTAAAATTGCTTGCTATTCAATTTATTGTCTTAATATTCAAGTATAGAATCACATGTTGTTTATTGTTTTTATAATTATATTGTATCTAATTTTAAATCATGTCACATAAGTAATATAGATAAGAATATAATTATATGTAAGCAGAGTCCATATAAGTTCTATTATAATATAACATGCTTTGCTTTTAAGATTCATTCGTATCTAGCTATTTTTGTATACACATAAGAATATTGCATTATATGAATGAATATTATACATAACACAGAGAGAGGCATGTTACATAATAAAAGTGAGTTCTTGGGCTCTTTGAAATCCAGTTATCAGAATACATTTGTGTACGTGCTGTGGACCTGCCAAAATGAATCATCAAAGAAATGTCCTTTGCATAAAGGATCATGGTTTGAAAAACATGTCCCTGGTCCATCTCTAAATGTGACTGGATGTAGGTTTGGTTCCAGAACTTATCACCCTCAAGGCACTTTCAGTGGGGTGATAAAGTCCTACAGTTTCCACAGTCACATCTTTGTGAGGCTAAGTTTTCTTCATAGATGTAAATCAAAACAGTATATCACAAAATGTCGAATGTAGAAGCGGATATGAAGATGCAAACAATAAATAAGACTTACAAAACGGGAGATGATGCCATTCTTCTTACTAAAAACATTATTTTGGAAAATAGCAGACATAAGCTAGTATGCAATGGAATCCTACTTTTAATAAAAAGTCCTTTGAAGTCCCCCAGTTTTAATATCTAATATAGTAGCTATTAGTATCATATATATAGCCTGTATAAACAAAATACCTTTGAGACCATCTATAACTTTTAAGGGTCTAAAAATATGCCTGAGAGATAGTGGGGTTTATCAACATTTTATAATCTAGAGGCAGAGATCACGTCAGCAGTGTCCCGTGCATAGTAACGAGGTTGCTTAGTCTTGCTTTTACAATGTTTGAGAGCACTAACAGTACAGGATCACAACACAGAAGTGCATACAGAAGAGTACACGAAAGCTTGGAGACGACAGAAATGCTATGAATAAACCAACAGAATGAATACAAAAATATGTATTTGAGGGGAGGAGACTCACAAGAGCAGAACAGACAAGGCCATGGCTTCAGTGAGCAATGACATTCATTTCTGACAAAGAGACCATTAGGAGTCATCGGAGATGAGCTGCTGTATTTCCTGGAGGACAGCACTTTTCAGTGAAGCCTGATTAAAACTACTGAGACACACACAGTCTTTTTATTTTCTTAGGTGTCTAACACAAGCAAGACTCAAAGCAAATCATAAAAAGTCACTCCCTTTTTATACCCTGCTCTTTTTGTTTTAACCCTACTTTATAGAAATAAACGCTTCTCTGTCACTGCATATACACTCAGGCATTGCATTAAATTTTCTCATCATTCTTAAATCAATGAAATGTCTTAGTCACTTTAAACTGTAAACAAAGTCTCAGTAAACAAAGTCTCAGAGTTTGAAGAAGAAAATATGTAGTTTCGTGTAACAATCATGACATCTACTAAGTTAAATAGTTTCCTCCTCAATTTTCCCCAGGTGAGGTCCCGCTTGGAGCTCCTTTTGCAGTAGAACAAGGGCTTGAACACTTAACCATCGCTTCTCTTTCCATAGCTTGTATTCCCGATCCATTCATTGTTGCAGCAAGGGAACCAAGGTTATGCCGTTTTATTCTCATTGGGTCTTAAAAATATTTAATTCTGACTCTTACATGGGAACATGCAGATTTGCTGGAGAATTTCCTAATGGTAACTCTGTTTCTGTAGACAGAACATCCTAAAATTGGCTACCTACTAATACCTCGCAGGGGTCTACCACAAAACCCACAGGCTTCTCTTAGAACTGAAAAATGACCCAACTGGAATTTTTACTAGAGATCCCAAGTTTCTTCCTCTAACTTCAATGGCTTCCGAGCTGCCCTCCACGTACAGTTCCAGATGAAGATGCAGCTGTCTAGGAAGCTTTCAGATATGGCCTTTATGCTTGAAAGTCAGAGGGAGGCTGAAACAACAATAGGACTTTCCAAAGATATCCTTTTTTTCCTTTTAATTTTTCTGTACTCCTGCTAATAGTAGGATTCAAGGTCATGTGATCAGTTTCTGGTTATCAATTTCAAAAAAATTATAAATATCTCCTTTGGGTTATAGTTTCTGTTATAGATTGATACTTTATTCCAAACTTTTCAATCAAAAGGCCCTGTAAAACATTTTGATAATAAAATTCTTTTAATTGAAGAAAGCTGCTTTCCATTGAAACATGAAAGCTTTTAATCTTAAATGCCTTATGGCATTAAATATAAGAAATATGTTTGACATTATAACCAGTTTACACATAAATAAAAATATATGTGGATATACTCACACATGCATCAAAATTTCTCAAAATCTAATGCTTTTTTCTTAGCATACCTTAACTCATTACGATTTTGTGATTACCAGATCTGTTTCTTAATATAAATCTCCTTTCTGAGATATTGTTTTGACTTCAAACCACAAGGGAATAAAATAAATCAAGAAGAAAAAGTCCGTTTTGGACCAAATTGCAGTAGAGATTTAATAGGTAGAAAATATATTTGAAGGAATTGATCTTTTCTTTTAGAGTTTTGAGAAACCTTGCAGTCCAGATGCCAACCTGAAACAGCATTTAAAAGCAGACATACTCAGAGGCACGCTCTTGAAGCTCACTAAAATGATATATCTCATTTTCTGGTTGTTGTCTGACTGAGATCCTTGAGGGACTGCTCTTGGCACTCAGGGGTCTCCCTCAGGTCTTTTTTTCCCTCAAAGCATGTCAGTTTGCCTCATCTTTGATACTGTAAGAATATTCTCTGTGCCTTTCATGTCTTTTTAAAGGTTTTTTTCTGAGTTGGATCCACTCATGGCAAGTTTTCTTTTATTTAATTCATAGCCAACTGATTAGCAACTTAATTCTGGGGGTGACAGCCCATTATATTCACAGCTCTGTCCACACTAATCAGAAACAGATTGTACAGGGTGCCTTCACATTGTCCCCAATTCTAGTACCGACTGACTATATCACTGAACATTGTTAATCAAAGAAATAACTCATGAAATAATAAAACATAAGTGATACTCTTTAAAATCAATTCTAATATTTCATTTTGGTTTGTGTCTATAGTAAAGACACTAAGCACAAAAAAGTTAGAGCAAATTGTAAAATAATCATTGGTGAACAAAAATTAATATTTATACATTATTTATAGCTTATGCATTACACTGAATGAGAAGCAGCATACAGGCATCAGCCAATCTGTAAGACTTCATTTACCCTTTCACACTGCTTTGAATTTACATTTTGATTAACCCTTCAACTTTTAAATTTGTATTTTAATTATATATATATATATACACACACACACACATATGCATGCCTAGACTACATTATTGCTGACTACATTATTACATCCTTATGTTTCCTTCCATTGCTGAGTGAAGTATCTAGAATATGTGAGTTACTAATGGATTACTGAATAATAGAATCAGTTAATTAATGAGCTGATATTCAGAATACTTCAAGCCTTGAAAAAGTAAGATATGTTTAGGTCATGATTTGTGGAAACATTTATTTTAGTTAGATTGTTTTTTGTTTTGTTTAAGATAGTCCTCAGTACATCGTCCAGGAAAACTTGAACTCACCATGTATCACAGAGTGGGTTCAAACTTGAAGTCCTCCTGCTTTGGCCTTCCAGAGAGTTGTAATCACAGGTTTATAACCACACAACTGGCATCAGCAGCACTTAGAAGAGAAGGAATACTTTTCCACAGAAGATAGTGATAACGATACAGATGTACATCTGTAAAGATAGATGTGCGTTATTTTTATAAATTAGTGCATTGATTGTGATGAACTTTCACACTTATTACCCAAATTCCTCTTGAGAGGTTGTATATTTCCCATATTGGATATATTTTTTATTTTAAAATAGATTTTTGACTGCATTTTTTCATCCTTTTAATTTTTAATGCATAACAGTCTATGTGAAATATGGATTATTAGTAACTACCTTAACTTAAAAGCCATAAATTATCCTTAAAAGAGTAAAATGATTTTATTCTATTTATCTTTACAGATCCCTATGCTTATCTATATTACTTATGTTCTAATGAAGTTAATACATCCATTCTTTGTTAAATTTATCTTGAAATACTTGTACATAGAACTTTCCTTTTTGTTTGCTCGAATTGAATTGCTTCTCATTTGCATCTGACATTACAAACACAATCACATTTTGATATTTTAACCCTTTATGATGTGATTCGTGTCACATCTTTCCTCCACTCTCCCAGTCTTAGCAGTGAGAAATGTGATATTTTTCTTTATCTCTTAAAGCTCTTTGTTTTCAGCTTTCTTATGGCATTTACTCTTTGCTTAAATGAACCATCATTCCCTATGTATTTTAAAATAGTTCCTTGTACATTTCTATTGAATAGAAACTTTTATTAAATTTAGAGATTCTGTCTTTAAGAACCTTCATATTTTTCAGGGGCAGAAAACAGATGCAACAAAGTATTTCTTCACTGTCTAACAAAAATCATTTACTGTTTCTTTATATGTGCCTGGTAATTTGCTTGTCTCTCCATTCAACAACACAGATATTATTATACTTTATTATAGGCAGAATCAAAAAGCCATGGATAGTAACAGGAAAAGGATTTGTATGTAGACTTGTCAAATTTGAAACTCATCTGTCACTTTACAGAGTGAAGAAACACCTTAAGAAAATGTAAATGAACATTAAGACTTTACTCCCTGAAATAAAACTTTTGATCCTGGCAGGTCTAACCCTCTGATTAAACAGACACAGTCATCAAGTAATGATAATGTTACTTAATAAAACACTCAGTGATAACTCTAGCAGTCCCAGGTATTTATCAAAATTTTAATGAATACTTCAATTTCAGATTATAGGACATTCATTAATATGAGTGACTATCCCTTTTCATTTGAATAGATCTGTAAATATCTCAAAAAGAAAAATATACTGAATTCTTTCAGTCACTGACAGACACAAGGATAATCTATAAAATGATTTATCAAAACATTGAAAGACTTTCTCTACCATGTCAGAATTTCAGAAGACAGTCACTATTAGTTTAACCTTTTTAGCAGTGTGAATGATATTTTGATGGTATTTCTTATTATTTGAGGAACCAGAGAATACCTAAATCTCTTTTACATAAACTCAGTTCCTAGCCACAGAGTTTGCCAAAATACTATTCAGATAATGCAAAATTGTGAAGTTACCATTTTACAAAAAAAAAAAAAAAAAGATTCTTGATACCTCTAATTCTTAAGTAAATCCAGAAAGGAGAATTTGTATTGTCAAGAAGTCTAAATGAGACCTTGTTCCTCTATTCCTGAAATAAGAATTTAAGATTATAACACTCTGAGTAAATCCTGAAGAAACAAGAGGCAAGTCTAAGAATTCATGAGCTCCTGAATCAAGGAGGCAGAGAGAATGGTAAATATCACTGATCCTTTACATGTCTAGTGAACTTGCTTCCAGGAAATAGGACTGAACTCTGGTTCTGTCATTGAAAAAGCTACTTTTCTATGAACAAATAAACTAGAAATTAGATTTTATATCCTGATATTTATGCTTGGAATGGTTTGCCTGAAATTTTCCTTACTGTAATCAGAGCATTCTTGCATCAGTTAGACAAATTGATGATAGAAAGGCGGATATCTAAAAGCTGTTTGCTGATCCATTACCCAATTTAGTCTAGCAGATACTTGTAATCTGGGCCTCTCTTTCACACAAATGTTTTATCACATGGGAGGCTAGATAGCCTATAGACCTGTCAGACGACTTCTCACAGCTCCCGTGTAGCAGACTATGATGGGGTTAGGGTTAGGGTTAGGGTGCAGTTCAAGAGCCCAGGAAGCGTCCCACAAGTCAGGGGCACACAGTGTCCTAAGGTGATGCTTTTGAGAAAAATCTTGCCTGTACTCATTTCCTTTGGCTTCTGTGCATTCTTAAGCTGTTTTTCTATACTTCTCACTAATTCTTTTACATTCCATAGTCTAAATGTATGTACTTTTGGCTTTGATAATCGGAGACATTTTCTATTATTTATAGCCAAGGATGCTGATGACTACCTGAAAAACAATGAACTTGCCTACTTGTATCTGAAACTAAACAAAATTGAGCTGATATTGAGGAATATGGTTTTGGCAGACCATGACTTTCAGTAATGAATTTTCTAATTGAAATCACCAAATGTGTTTCCAAGGAATGAAGAGTCCTTTGAAAACAGGCATATAAAATTGACTTTCTCTGCTCTTAAATAGGAAGATAGAAATGAGAAATATTAAAGCAATGAAATTCACTGGATATTTTTAAAGACAGCTTGAAAGATGAGAATGGCAAGATCAGACACTAAATTCTCAGCTGACATTGCAAAGTTTTCTCCTTTTACCCCACCCCACCCCCACACTTTGTGAAAAGGCTGCCCCAGATACAGCAACCAAAATTTTCTGTGATTATACTACCACTATATTACATTTGTAAGCTTCAAAGAGCCAAGAATGAAACTCAATATTTGAATATATAGTCTTCCAAATTAAGTCACCGTTTTAATTGAGCTAATTACCTTCTAGGAAAGTTAAGGACTTCGACTAGAATAGGCATAAGTCCAATGATTGGTATTAGGACAATATGGAGAGATTCAGAGGACTTTGTGTATTCTGAGCACTATACACTATGGAACTTCTCTCACCTGATGTGGTCTTTCTCTCTAACCTAAAACCTACTTGTTTAAAAAAGAAAATAGTTTTCTTTATTCTCTATCTCTTCTATTCCATTAAAGTTTTTAATATCTATCAACTTAATTTGTAGTTATAATGGGTCATACAGAATTTGTGAAATATAGTCACTAAAACCTTTGGAAATATAGATATGACTTGTGAGCTAAAACATGAAATCAGTGGTGATACATATTAAGTTAAACTGATGTATTTATTGGTATTATAGTGGTATTATTGGCATTATAGAGGTATGAAATCTTAAGAGTATCTATCACTTGTGATCTGTACTTTTACTGTGTTCTCCAAGGTGACTCAAAAAAAAATACAACAAAGTACATACCAGAACTTTTGAAAAGTTCTTTAATAGCTTCTTTTTGTTTTATTTTTGTGAATTTTAGTAATCACTATGTACTACTATTACAAAGTGCAGTTGATCTGAGCTCCCTGAAAAGTGTCTGAGATGAAAAAACCAACTGTGATAATTGATGGTCTTTAGCTGGTATAGTGTTCCTTGAAATTACAATATTTAGAGAACACACCAATGTGTTATTCAGGGTAGATAAATTTGTGTCAATATACAAGTATACCAAATATGCACATCACTCCAAGATATACCCCCCAAATATGTACAAAAGCATAAATGTATGAAACCTTAATGCTTTACATTTGCCCAGGTTCAAGAGAGTTCAGTTTAGGGGTTAAAGAGAGGGAATGGAGGCTTCATAAAATTATTTAGTGATCCAGGTTAAATAGCACCTTTGACATCTTCTAAACATTATTATCATGGGTGATCTTGGTTATTCAGAGGGACGAAAATATATGAAGAAATTCTTGTGAGAGAATTTTTTTGGGCCATACTTGGAAGTAGCAAATACCACTTAAGATTCCTGTAGCTAGAATTCAGTGACATGACCACATGCACATTCAGGGAAAGATGGAGCTATCTCCTTGTCATGGCCCAAGGAAGGAGAGGAAATGCATTTTGGTAAAGACCTAACAGACTTTTTAAAGAAATTTAATGAGAGAAGCCTGAGTTGAATTACTGTGCTAGACTGTTGCTGGAATTAATTCCAACTCCTGTGTCTGAGTGATTTCTGAAACCAATCGCTTATTCTTTGAAGAGACCAGAACACTTTAGCATATATTCTCAAATCACATCAAATAAATACTTTGTTCATTTCTGTGTTAGCCTCCCTTCAAATACTATATGTATTTAGAAAAAAACCCTTTGTTTGAAAACAGAAAAGAGGTAAAATTTTTGGAAATTATAGATCTCAATAAATTTCAACACGGTTGTCCTATATAGATTCACACTGTGATTCCCCAGGAGATAGAGGATGATGCAGTTAAGGGATGAATGGAGTTTAGTTCAATGGGGATTTATTTTAGTATTTCTGCAAAGTATCTACTCAAAATATACATCTTTAGGGATTTAGACTAATTTCACTTTTGCTCTCTGAATACGTGATAAGGTGAATAATTTCATAGAATTGATGGCATAGAAATATTTGGTAGAATATATGTAGCACAATTGTCTTACCAAAAATAATAAATCAAAAGCAATTTCACATTTAAATGGTTTATATTACCTTATGTTAACTATAGTGATTAATACAATCAGTAATAGATTGAGGATAACAAAGTAACTATTCTTATGGCAGTATTTGTGTTTGCTCTGAGCAGCAAAGTGAGATCTGCCATAAAAAGTAACCCCATGCTTAGTTATTTAAACAGAAAATAATCTCATTGCAGCTCATATTCCAGGATTTCTTTGCTAACTGATACAACTCCCGATAAATATTTCTCAGCTTTTAATTTTAAATTCAGTTTTCTCCATCCTGTTAAGCAAAACATACTATATTTTTATTTTGAAAAGAATAAAAGCAAATGAGAAAAAATGGGGTCATTCAAAACAAAAGAATGGACATAGTACATAATTTAAAACCATAAACAAGGTGATCTACAATGATTACCATGATGTCTCTTGTTATCTTCAAAAGAATTGCCCATATCATCAGGTACAATAAAATTTAACATAG